GTTTATCGATTGACGTTGGCTGGTGTACCCTGAGTTTTATTTGGTGCATGTCAGCGGCTCTGTAACTGAAGTCAAAAGCCACAAAGTGAGTCGTAGTACTCATAGAAATGATCCCGTAGGCGTAACTTTTGGATTTCGGGATAGCGCGAAGATCCCTTTATCGAATGCTATTGCACAGCAGTGAGAGCTGTTAAACAACAACGTTTCACGTGTAAAACTGATCATTGGAAATGCGAAAACAGCTTTGGTTGCAGGAAACACGATCCGTAGGGAATAATTTCGTAAAAAGTGATCACTGGATGCGAGCAGTTAATCAGATTCGAACTAGTGAATGGTGACTGCGCTGGGGGAAAAAGAACAATGATTTATAATGGGTAAAAAAGCAGGTGCTTGATATGTCCCGTAGGGTGGTTATAGTGAAAAAAGATAGATCAAGGGATAATGGAATCGTCAGTTCGGGCGATTACAGATTTAACTGCGCTGCCGTATAAAGTGTTTGAAATTATAGTGTACGCACACAAAGCAATAAGGAGAGTGGTTATTGATCACGTAATAAGCGAGAAAAAAATTGCAAAAATAGCAAGGACGACGCTTACTCGTGTGCAGCTATCTTGGACCCACGGGATACAGAAATTTAGTTTACACAGCAGTAATATTTATCAAATTCCGTGCAAGTAGGCTTATGGCACTGACCACTGTCTGTTTTGCATTAGTGCCAGCATCTGCTGGTACTGGGCTAGAGCACTTAATGTAAATGTGACAGAGTATCGTCAAGGCGTTTTTTAAAAAGGTATAGGGTTGGAGCATTAATTACAGTTCAGGGAGGGCCTTTCAAGGCTGTGCCACTCGAAGGGAGAAATAGTTTCGCCGACATTCAAGGCGGCTGTACTGCGTGACTAACTTAAACTGATGACCTCTTAGAGGAGTATTTTGACTGAGTATCAGAAGGGAGTGGCATAGGTTATTGGGGTTTCTCAGGTCAGGTACACCATTAACACCATTAAACACCGATAACGTCCACTGTACATTTTGAGAGTTTTCCGCCTGAGTGAGTAGGGGTGGCTGGTCAAACCTCTGACGCTCTTCCTTGCCCTACGTTTTGCAGTATCGAGCGTGGTGAGATGGTACTTGAGCCAGGGTTGACACGCTTCAATAGCGTATTCCGCGTGCGGCCTCACGTAGCACTAAGCATTTTTGGAAAGACTGAAGGGTTAAACATCCCGAAAGCTCTGCGAAGAAGGCCGAGGTACTGGTTTGCTTTCTTTTCAGTCTGCCTCGAACAACCGAGGTCATCTTGAACTATCACGACGAGATCACACTCGTGAGAAGCCCGCTGTAGAATTTGTGGTTATAGGCTGTAGTTGTGCATACTCTTGTGCAGTATACTGAGAACTTTGCACTTGGTGACATTGAAATGCAGCATATTCTCGATGGACCATGTGTACGAGTTGTTTATGTCCTCCTGTAACACTGTGTTATCATCCACTGCAGATATAGTACGCCATACCTTTAGGTCATCAGCAACTAGCAAACAGTTAGAAGATAGCACATTCGCGTGATCATTTATGAAAACCAGGAACAGGCGGGGTCTAAGTACGGAGCCTTGAGGTACGCCGCAGTGAACTTCGATGGATTCCGACAGGTTGCTTCGAACCCTCACATTCAGGTGACGTTGCACGAGAAACTCTCCTATCCAGCTCATAACAGGATCGCCGATTCCACATTTCTAGAGTTTGTGGAGGAGAATGCGGTGGTCTATAACGGTCGAATGCCTTTGAGAAATGCAAGTGGGCCGCGTCGACTCCCACACCAGCTTCCACAGATTCCGTCCAGCTTGCAGAAGCAATCAAACAGATTAGTGGTACAGGAGCGATTTTGGCGAAATGCGTGTTGCTCCGGAACGAGAATTCTGTTGTTCTCCAGGGTACCCCATTAAAGTTTCAGCTACGATGGACTCCATAACCTTGAGATCACAAGAAGTAGTGTTATCCGTCGAAAAGCCAGAACTGCATTATTGAATCCGCGACATCTTTGATGACAGAGAGGGGTTCCCTCGGTCTAAACGACCAAGTTTACAAGGCCGCAAGAGGGCTGTTCCCCTTTATGAGAGAGGGACTTGACTTCTTCGATCTGAAGATCTAAGGCGTCGTTAAGTCTCTGATCATCGCTGTCTGCGAAGCATTGCTGGTGTCGGATGTCACTAGCGTGTCCGCAACGATGGTGTGCATAGGCGAGTATTAGGCAGTGATAAACAGGCTACTTCCTTGGAACAACAGATAACATTGAATAAGTTACGTTGGCTTGGACACGTGTTACCTATGAACGGTTACCGCTTACCTAGGAGAACCTTGTTTTGTCTGCCAGATGTAGCGTGGCGCAAAGCTCGAGGTGGACAGAAGTTGATTTGGCAGTGGGAAATGAAGTCACTGACGACCAAACTTGATGCCGTCGGTCGGTCTCGTCTTCGATGCTAGGGTCCATGTGACTCGCCTTGTGCTTGGCTTGAGAAATGGCTCATAGTCGACACGACTGGCGCGTCTGTTGCCGTCTCCTAGTCGGACTGCCAGTTTAAAGTGTGTCTGGTGCTGAGGTATCTGCGGAGTAATCGCTGATTATGGCGCAGGACAGTGAAAGCCGCAAGGAAGCTGTTTCGCTGATCCCTTCTTGTCTTTGCACGATAGCCAGTTGTTTGTGATGGTATGTTGTTGACAGAAGGTGAACGTGCCTTGACCCAGAATGTTTGCTTAGGGTATTATGGTTTTCCGGTAAGTCCCCCTTCTCTCCCATATTATTCTTCGTTCCATACGTCGTTATGGTTGTATGGCAACGAAGCATCAGTTTAAATGGCTAATGTACTGCTGTTGTTGGTGATGATTCGACTACGTAAGGAATTTACTATGCTGCACAAGTTGTCGTCCTCAATCGAACGCGAAACTTGCCCGTATCTCCAACGGAAGAAGCCCAGCCCATCGGGGCCAAATCACACAGTGTACATCAATTTGTGTGTGACTGCGGAGACAGTTACATAGGCAGGACTGATAAGACTATGATTTCCCGAATAATCCCTTTCGTATACAATGTGTACATATATACAAACGCATAAAATTCGCTTTTAAATTTTGCATAATTGACAACCAAAGATCAGAATCATCCGCTCACTATGTTAAGAAATCTATTGCATCACTAGCAACATAAACAATAATTTTCGGATCAAAATTCTTGCCTGTGTACAAAGGGAATAAAGGAGCATGTGCCGAGATTGATTTAGCGTGAAACTGCCTAGATGCCGTACCTCCTCCAATCCCGTGCTCGCGTAGTCCGTCGGGTTTCTCGATAGGCAAACACCCATTGATTTCGGATTACCGGATAGAGCTGCACACAGTATCAAAAGTTGTGTTAAGTCACGATAATCCCTGCTTTCTTCGGTTTGCTGAGGCTGTCGCTACAAGCCGGATGAAACCAGCCCTGTGCGTTCAGAGACAATTATTTGTCAGCCTAAAGCTGTCCTGGACGTAGGGGTGAAATCACGTCACTCCCTCTGCAACTCAAGCTTGTCTAGTCGCACCCACTGGTAGCTATACCCCTGCATATCGCATTTTGTCCATGGTACTGTGAAAAAATATGAAATGTAGCATCTAAAAGCTTTCGTCGTCTTTCCTTGTTGAGGAGAACTAGAGGCTTTAAAATTTTTAGTCACCAAAAAGCGATCATTCGCAGCTCAGTCAGTTTAGTTAAACAACTATAATCCGGGAACCGAGGTGCGGTGGATCCAGCTGCAACGACCCACGTCAGCAGAATAACAATAAAGAACAACTGGAAGAAAATAACGTTGAATGCAGATAGAATACAAATAAAGTGGAGTCGAAGAAGTGAGACGGAGGTGAGAAGGAGTGAGGAGGTACAAGAAACCGCATGCAGGAACACCCCTGACAGTGCCATTTTTGATGGCCGCCGAACCACTACGCGGCCTATATTCACGAAGATAGCACACGCACCAGCCTGACCAAATCCCCCAGCCAACTTATTCGTGTCCTTATGCCATGTCATCGACTGGCTACCTCGGATTATTCGCAATGGGTATGGTATTGAGGCCGATGATTAGTAAGCGAAGACTAGTTGCTGTCTGATCACCTGATTCTTCTTCTCCACCATATCACCATATCGTGAAGAACACCAAAGTGCTGGATGTCGGTCCAAATCGAGTAACTGCAAAATTAGTTGCTAGCTAGGATTTACAATCATCAATATCCGGTTCGTGAGCCAAATTACATTGTCTGGCGCCACTAAAGCTAACCATTTCCCAGTGGCTCAACCCCAATCAACGGTGGTCAAATGACACAACCAGTGCATTAATGACAGCCGAATGGTTGTATCCACGTTGATGTTGACCTGCCCGGTGCTTCTGGTCCCGTAGCCATCAACATAGAGAGAATTTGGCGAAAACAAATAGCTTTTCGGTGAAGTAATAACTTTCGAGTAGCCAAACACTATTGCTCCATCCTATAACAGTTACAGGACACTTCTGTAATCAGAAGCTAGATTTGAAACAGGGAAAACTGGGTGTGACGCAACTGCCCGGTGTAAGGGGTCTAGAGTGAATATTCAGCGCTAGTGTAGCGAACACATACGAAGACGCGATGCAATGATTGTATGTTTGAGTTGCGTGAAAAAAGTCAAAGATTCGTCGTTGTGAGAATGAAAATCAGCCACAAAACAAAAATGAGTCAGGCAAACCTAAGGTTGAAATATGCTATGGGAAAGGAACGCTCTGGTTAGAAAATGAAGAGCTATTAGCAAAAAAATGCAAGCGCGAAAATCAACGAGCTTAGGAAATGATCAGATACCGGTGCACATAAAACAATGCAGATCGTCGATGGGACTAGTGCGTAATATTCACGACTGTCATAAAGGTGCCCAAAAGTATAGCAAAGCACTAAAACTGAGAGAATCTGAAATGCATCCATCTGCTGCACCGTAGCCAGAAACACAGGTTGTTTGTTGCCGAGTGACAGAATACGGGTAATGACGGTTGGCGCGTTATTTTGCAGTGATGCAAAAGAGGGACGAGGGGAACGCGGAACAGAAGGAAGAAAATCGACAGCACGAATTACCTCTGGTGAATTCCACGCTATGATCCCCATGAGATCGGATCCGGTACACACGCTTCATTAGCTCCATATTGGACAATAGATTGATGAACCCCATATAGTAGGAGAAGGATATTTTGCCGTGTTTTCCGCTTAGAACAGTGGTCTGTGTGAGACGCAGAGAAAAAGGTGTGGAATAAGAAGCACATGATAAAAGGATGTACATGCTCTTACATAGAGAAAAGCGAGAGAGATAAACATGAAGTATCGATTAGTTCACAAGTAAAATGAAGGAACGCAAGTCTCATGTTAACAGTCGAAGAAGTAACAACAGTTAGATCGTGTGTGTGCTACAAATCGTCAAGTCGCTTCAATGAGGTCGACAGTTTGAGTTGAGCTGAAATGAACAGAACAGGGATGTTGTACAGCGAACGGTCGATATCAAAAGAGCGAATGCCAGACAATGAAAGATGTTGCACAATGCACCTGATACGCAAGTGAAATAAAGCAAACAGAGGGACCACAAGAAAATCGGTATAGAAAACAAAGTGGGAAGAGATAGGTGGTCAGGTATATATATATATATATATATATATATATATAGGGGCGTGATCGAAGTGAGCCTCTCACATCCTAATCTTGATTGCAGGTCATGGGAATCTAAGGCGGTTGATCGGCTGTGCTGTGCTCTATCCTATTTTGTGTCGTGGGCGCTGTTGTGTCGGTCTCTCCGCAGGACTGTGCAAATAAGGAATTTATAGCGCTTGCAAGTTCCCTTGAATTGCTTCCGACTTTTGGTCGTTCGCCTGCTGCTTTTAGCCGGATCTCTGTTGGCAACCTAGCTCGAAACGTTAACCAGCTATCTCACAGAAATTTCGTCATTCCCTCGGAGTGTAGTATTACTTTAATTAGCCTTGGACCGCAGCCCTTGTAGTTAAGTGATAACGGAACTTATGTCAGGGATTTGGCAATAACATTGTCAACAGAAAGTGCTTCGCGAATGTAGCACCACTACTCTCGGTCGTGAGTTTGTGCATCGCGATCAGAAGAATGCAGAAGCTCGGGAACACCATGAAGAAATATTATTTTCCTGCTATCCCTATTGGCAATACCGCGTAGCTCCACTGCTTCTTTTGCGCGATCTTTCCAAGGTAGATCAGGTAATATGCGTACTCCGCTCGGTGAGTTAGAAAGATTAACTGCTGAGAGCAGGACAGCCTCTGTCTCATCTGCTTAGTTTAGTGTTACTCGAAGAATTTGAGGTTCACCAGAGTGCACTGAGGTCGGGTGACGCGCCACGCGTTGCAGCATTGCAGGCTCAACCCGAGTGCCAATCACCTCGCAGATGCGATCGTCTTGCAAATTGCCTTTTGCGCAATAACACCTTGAATGAATCGATTGGGTTCACCTGGTGACGAGTGATCATGAGGTGTTTGGTGATAGACGAGGCAGGGTTCCGGTTCATTCTTTGGTCCGCTCGGCCTTGGTTAAACAGCAACTGCCTTAGCCACATTGGGAAGTGTTCCGCCATCCTTTGAGCCAGCCGGCGACCAGTCTTGCCTATGTAAGTGTCACCGCAACTGCAAGTGAACTGATAGATGATGTTAGAGGCCGAACTGATTGGCGAGCTACTCGGACGGCTCTGGAGAGGAATCCTTCGTGTAGTGTGGATAAGTCATAGTTGTGCGGTAGAGTAGGTGCGCGTTAGAGCGGACTTCAGCTTGTGACCAACTTCATTTGCCACGTGATCCCCCTTGAACGGTAAGAATAAATAAATATCCTTCTTCTCCGCTGTTTGTACTGGCAGTTTCTCCTTCGGGGGTCTGCTATGAATCTGAATGAATTTTTCCGGATACCCATTGGCTAGCAAAGTCCGGTATAAAAACTCTTCTTCAGCCTTGAGCAATTCCGGACTGCAAATCCGCCTGGCTCTATAGAAGAGAGTTTTTACGAGGCCGCGCTTGTATGCGACCGGGGCGAAGCTGGAAAAATGTAGGTATTGTCCACCCCAGGTCGCTTTTCGGTACACAGTGCGCTGCAGTGTGCCATCGGTCATTCTTTTGATTGCCTTTTGATTGCCTTTTATTGTGCTAGGTTTGGATCCGCGAACGTTGGTGCACACGACAGTTAGCGCAGCGCGGTTTGGTCTAGCGAATGTTTGCTTTATACTTTTACTGGCAATTCAGGTTGTTTATAGGGCACCAGTGGATTTGACGGTGAAAGCTGCTTTGGGCCACGCGTGCTCGGTACTGAAGATGGGCCTATGTGTGTCCCTCCCGGTGTGTTTGTCGAGGCAATCGATGCGTGCGTTACCTGCTTGTTATTTGCACCAGATTTCCTTCGGCTGTGAGCTGTCGGTGTCATGGCTGAATCTCCAAGTGAAGCGACTATGGTTTGAGAAGTGGAAGCAGGCATGTTTGAGGCTTGCCCACCTATGGGAGTGAGGTGACCCAGTGGGTTTGGAGTCACAGACGCTGCAGTGCGGTTGGAGCGTCTAGCTATTTTCTTCGGTTTAGACTCAGAGCCAACTCTGACCGGGTGAGGTATTATGGCGATGTTTGGTTGGTCGATGCACATGGTTATACAAAACTGCCATATCCATGAATTCGAGGAGTTTCGATTTAAATGATGGCCCATTAGGGGACACTGATGCTATTGAAGGAACATTAAATTCACCTATTATAAGATGGTGGGAGTACTTTTGTGAAATATCATAGCAGAGAGCGTTTAACAAAATGTTACCGCTGTCTGCTGACGATTTCGGAGGTCTATAGATAACTGCTAAGAAGCAAGCATCACTCTGCTGTTAACCAACATCTCGACCTGCTAGGCGCAGTCGGCAAAATAGTGCGTCGGGAATAACAAGGGAATTTTTGTTAAGAGCCTCACATTTCGAATAATTTCCATAGTAGAGAGCAACACCGCCACCGCGAGATGAGCAATCATTTCGAATAACTGACATCTCACTGAATTCAATCTCTGGATCAAGTATGTCGGTTGAGAGCCAAGTTTCAGTAACTGCTTTGAGGTCCCAAGCTGTTGTTTCATGTCGATAGCGCAGCTCCGGGAGCTTAGAATACAAGCATTGTGTGTTGGTGTAACTGCAATGTATTTGTTGACGCATCAGCAGCTCGGTTCGCTGTGAGTGACCGGCACAAATAGTGCCGGTCTGCTGAAGTTTTTTGAAACGATTGTTTGCACAGTTGGCTGGTTTGATATAGGTACGATTGAGGCTGGCTCATCTATATCTGAGGTCTGTATTAATTGAAGGAATGGTCTTTACCGTACTTCTGGTGGCCCAAGTTTCCTGTTGTCATGCCATGCTTGGATTGTCACTGATACTATTTCGGGCGCAGCCAAGGTAACTTTCAAAATTCGTGGCCCGCTACCTTGGTAGTTTGTGGAAGCATTTCGACTGGTGACGTCAAAAGCCACGACATTCTTCATGTCGTATAGTTCTGCGATGTACCGCCATTCTTCGATGTCGTGCTTCTGTTGTTCACTGCTATCGTCATGCTTCAATTCTGGCACACCATGAACCAGTACCACTTTCATCATTTCATTTTGACGTGACGAAGTAGGGATGGATTTATGCTTCTGTCTTTCTGCCCATGGCCTGTCAGGAAAAATGCGGGCACTGACAGAAGGGTTTACTAGCATGTGGCCTGCTATGAGAACATCTGCCAGGTCACGCGTGTTGCCAAACGTTACTCGCAGTAACCGAGGTTTCCCTAAGTGTGGAGATGATGGATTTCGTGAAAGGCGTGTAAGACTAGCTGGGAGAACTTTCAGTCTGAGGGCGCAGGTTATTACAGCCCACCGGTTTTGCTCCTCGGCTTGTCTACCTTTTAGCGATTCGCTAGTGGGTTCTGGGACGTTTGAACATATTACTGTCATCGTCTTTTGGTTGCGTAGTAATGTTTTGTTCTGCAGTTCCTTGTGAGCGTAGGTTTGTCGAGTGGGGGTGTCTGGCTTGTCTTCCGTGGACAATACGCCAAGGCTACAGCAAGAATTTTTACGTGCAACGCCGCTGGTTGCGCTATCTGTAGGGGTCAATTGTTGTTGACCAGCTACTGATGGAGGTGAGCATGCAATTTGTGCGTAACTCTGCATGCTTTGGCGCATGACTTTAGACTTAAAGTGCCCTTCAAGCAGCCTGTTTTCACTGCTGTTTTTCACTAACGTTGTTTGCCTTTCTCTGGACTGGGTAGCACTGTTGCTAGAGAGCTTTTGCCTTTTAACAAGTCGGGGACTCGGGCTACGTACTGTGCTAATCTGAAACTCGCGTTCTGAGAGTTTCCCTTCCAATGCCGCGATCAGTTCCTTTTGGTCTGCAGACGTAACAGTCAATGCTTCACACCTTACCGTGTTTTTGAACAATCTTAGTTATCGGACTATTTGAACATATGTCACAAAACCACAAGCTATCTGTCGATACGCTGTTAGCTCCGTTAAGTGTAATGTTCACATTTGTCACGTCATATGAATTGACACAGAACGAACGCGTGATTTTCGAGCGGATTTCAGTTCCCCGCGTGTCTGAGCTACGGTTGACCTTAGCTTTGTTGCTCACTGGATTCCCGGTTGACAAACTTCTCCGGCCCATGGATCAACGGTTGGTATGCACCTTTAGGTTGCGCTGGTCACGTCGTTTGGCTGCCTCAGTTGTCTGCTTCAGTCAGCGCGGTTAGGTGGTGCGTCACTAGGCGCAAGGGCAGGCAAAATCACAAAGGCTTTGTGCAGTGAAATGCACGTAAAAATATGGTGGTAAGGTGAGATGGCAAAAATGCTTGTATCTATGGTATACCCTGGTGCACAGTACTATGTTATATATTATCTGACAGCCTTAAAGAAGATCTGTCGAATGGTATCCCAAAGGTACTGATAAAACTCAAATAATCAAAGTTACTCAAGTTGGCCTTAGTGAACAGACTTCTGAAGACTTAGTCTGTGGTGTACCAGCGTGCTGTTGGACTTACTTCAGAAATATGGACGCCGTTGGATAGTGCTCGGTGATCCGAATCGATTGAGCGTACTTCCGAATACGTGACACAATAATGTGAAGGGATACGTCAAATTAAGCACAGAGCACAGGATTGCACGATTAGCAAGTACACGCTGAACAGGTCATATATATATATATATATATATATATAAGAAAAGTGT